GCTCGATTCATTGGCACTGCGAAGAGATGTTGCATCCCTTTGCATTTTCTTTCGCATCTACCATGGGGAGTGCTCTGAGGAATTGTTCGGATTAATCCCAGCCGCCAAATTTCACGAAAGCACATCGCGGCAGAACTCCCGATACCATCCACACCATCTGGATGATTGGCGGTCCACCACTGTGCGATTTAGAAGATGTTTTCTTCCTCGCACGACCTTCTTGTGGAATCGATTACCATCAGCGATTTTTCCGGACCGATACGACTTAGGGACCTTCAAGAAAAGAGCGTACTCCTTTTTAAAAGGCCGGCAACGCATCTGCGATTCCCCTGGTGTTGCAGTTCTTCATAGGCGGCGGTAGTCACTTACCATCGGGTGAGCCGCATGCTCGTTTGCCCCTCTCCTATAAAAAAAAAAACACAGGCCCTCTCTCAAGGGATATCACAAAGCAGGATCTTGAGATCGAATTTCTGCATCCTAACCAGGCATGCTGCCATATCTATTGTCAGTTGTTGTTGTCCCAATTGCCTCTTCAGCTTACTAAACAATTGCGCCCGACATGGCGCAATTGTTTAGTTCACCCTGGTTCTACTGTGAATATCCTTATTACGAAGTCAAACACGCAGAGAAACACCGGGCATAGTATATCGAAGAGTTGTGGTTGTATTCTTCAAGAAAGGTGATAAAATCATATTGAAGTATCCATTCTGAGCCGCGTCTACGTGCTGCGTTCGAGTAATTACGAATCGTCTCAGATTGACTTCCAGTCTCTGAACAAGCAGGTTTCCGAAAAGGCTTTAGTATCATAGACTACATACACACCTAGTACACACATACACATAGGCCAATTGAACAGAAATTTGAAAAGTTACAACCTGTCACTTTTTCTAGCGTATGTGGACGTCTTTTCGTAATTTACTTCGAAAATTACGAACACCGTAAACAATTCTCGGAATTAGTAATTGTCTTGTTTAAAAAGGAACTTGTACAATTTTTTGAAAACACTAAAAGATTCGTAAACTTTGATGTTACGGCCTACAGCTGCCCCCGCAAAGATCGTCTTGGCTGGGGCCCATAGCAGCCTGCTCGACAGGCAGACGCGGGTCGGGCCCAGTGGCCATATGGAAGAATTTCCTATAATACTAAGCTATATAGGAAAAGGCTAGGGAAATATAGTACTTACCTGTTTCCGACTCTTAAATCGCCCCAAGGCTCGGTTTTGAACAACAACAAATTGAACAGGTGAAAGAGTTTGTGTATCTGAGTTCGAAGTTTACAAGAGATGGAAAGTGTGAGAGTGATATCGAAAGAAGAGTGAATGCAGGAAACATGGTGAATGGAGCTTAGCAATCCTTTATGAGGAGGCGGAAGGTGTCTAACAAGGCTCGTTTGGCTGTGCATGAGGGGGTGTTGGTTCCGACACTCATGTACGGAAGTGAAAGTTGGGTATGGCAGAAGAAATATGAAAGCAGAATAAATGCAGTTGAGATGAGAGCATTAAGAAGTATGATAGGAGTTAAACTGAGTGACAGGATAAGAAATAGTGAGATAAGGAAACGTTGTGGTCTGAAAGAAGATGTAGTGACAAAAATTGAGAAAGGTATGCGATGGTTTGGCCATGTCGAGAGAATGAATGAAGAATGATTGACGAAAAAAGTGTATAAGGCGAGTGTGAATGAATGTGTTGGAAGTGGATGTGGGAAAGGACTATGGGAAAAAACTAATATACGCGATAAAATCCGTAAAATTAGTTTTATTTAAAAATGTGTAGTGTTCGCGTAAATATAAGAAATTATTATGGGAAAGTCTTTGATTCCGACAAAATCTGGCCGGTGTTGCACTTACCGATGAAAGGACTTTTTTTGGTTTAATGTCATGCATATGTTATGTCACAATTATAAATATGAATCACATATATTTTGAAATCAAAAGAAATAAAAAGCTTGACTAGACAACTAATTTAATGTATTGCTTAAATATTTAATTTATATTATATTTAACCTAAATTATGTTTAAATATTTAACCTAAATTATATTTAAACAATACATTGAATTAGTATATACTTACAATATATTATTAAATTAGTATAAACTTGGCATCGATATGCCAAGTTGACTGTCGGTATACCGATGTGGTGAAGTGTTTGTACAGTAGATGGCTATCCGAATACAGAACCAGAGTACGAGGTGTAAGACAGGGTGACGTTATATTTATGAAAGTTCACTGCTTAATTAAAAAACATTTTTAAGCTACTGGACTGGTATCAATGATAAGAGTATATTTTTTATGAGTATATACACATTCAGTTCGGCGATGATGTAGTCAAAATGGTAGAATTGCTGGAGAACCTCAGCATTATGCTCAATGACCTTAATAGGATATCCCAACAGATAGGTTTTAAGATGAATGGACAATACAAATGTAATGTGTAACGTCCATGTCACAACTATGCGGGTACCTAATTGTTGCATTGCGCTCGAAGTTGTTGACAAGAATGTTTACCTAGGAGAAATTATCCAACTATGGTACGGCCAACTAGCAGCGATACGAAAGGTCATCTACCTTAAAAACGACTGTGGAGTTGATAATCTATTATATACCTCTTTCCATCTTGTGTATTTGTCGTAATGTCTCGTTTTCCCGGCAAAAACATGTCAGGGTCAAAACGGGTTCGCCAACATTCGGAACGCGCTCGTGGTGATACAAGTTATTTGTTATTTTTTGTTGTTTATTTAATTATTGTTATTTTCTTTTGGAGCCACAACCAAGTACGTCGAGAGAAAAATCAACAGATTTCACTTCTCCGAAAAAGAAACGTCCAAAGGTATGTATAGGAATAGGATATATACCTAGTCAGGTCATAAGTATTGTCACACAGTAAAAACTTTTCTTTTAGAATGCTGGCCGCAAAAGTTTATTGAATTCGAATTTCGAATTGTTCATGAAAATAAAACTGTATACTTTTTAGAATTTTACTCATTTTTAAATATGGAGTGGACGCTTAAAGAAGACCGTGTTGCAGTTATTGCGTTGCATCGTTGCGGTTACGCGCCAATTCAAATTTTTGACATACTGAAAATTTTGAATATAACCAAAAAATTCGTTTATCGTCTCATCAAACGATACAATGAAGACTCTAATGTAGATGACAGGTCAAGAAGTGGTCGCCCTCGGTCTGTTAGGACTCCAGCAGTGATAAAAGCTGTGAAGGCGCGAATTCAAAGAAATCCCAAACGTAAGCAGAAACTGTTGGCCCTTCAGATGGGGTTAAGCAGAACCACGGTGAAAAGGGTGTTAAATGAAGACTTAGGGCTTCAGCATATCGAAGAAAAACAGGACATCGTTTGAATGCTCGTCTAATGGACCTGAGACTGAAGAGATGCCGCGCTTTGTTGAAGCGGTACGGGGGAAAAAATTATCGGGAATTTCTTTTTTCGGATGAAAAAATTTTTACCGTAGAAGAGAGCAACAACAAACAAAATGATAAGGTGTACGCACACAGTAGTGAAGAAGCGAGCAACCGTATTCCGCGTGTCCAACGAGGTCATTTTCCATCCTCGCTCAAGGTATGGTTGGGAGTTTCTTATTGGGGCTTAACAGAGGTACATTTTTGTGAGAAAGGTGTAAAAACATGCAAGTGTAAAAGAATGCAGTTGTGTATCAAAATACAGTCCTGACGAACCTTGTGGAACCTGTTTCTAATACCATGTTCAATAACAGGCACTGGGTATTCCAACAAGATTCGGCGCCAGCTCATAGAGCGAAGAGCACACAAGACTGGCTGGCGGGGCGTGAAATCGACTTCATCCGGCACGAAGACTGGCCCTCCTCCAGTCCAGATTTGAATCCGTTAGATTACAAGATATGGCAACACTTGGACGAAAAGGCGTGCTCAAAGCCTCATCCCAATTTGGAGTCACTCAAGACATCCTTGATTAAGGCAGCCGCCGATATTGACATGGACCTCGTTCGTGCTGCGATAGACGACTGGCCGCGCAGATTGAAGGCCTGTATTCAAAACCACGGAGGTCATTTCGAATGAACTTTAGTGTCATAAGAATCTATGTTTTGTTAAGTTCATTTTGGTATATAAATGGTTACATAATGAATAAACTTGTTTAAATTATTTTATATTAAACATGTGACAGAATTTATAACCTTAGGTATGAATGTTGTATAGTTATTTTAATTAAAACTTCTTGGTTCGTGTTTACTTTAGAGTGTACTTTAAAGTTATCATAAAATTATTTAATAAACAGCAACTGTAATAATAAAACTTTTCTTAATTTATTAAAGATTACATGCATCTTCCTCAAAAAATTATTTTTATCCTAATTTCCATAAATATAACACAACATATCATCAGTCCTGTATCCCCTAAGGGGTAGGCAGAGATATTAACACCCAAAATTTTGCCTGATATATGTATTTAAGTCCCTGTGTAACAGGTGGCAAGCCTGTTACCATACACACAGTTGTTAGGCAAGCAATATTCAGAAACATTATTATATTCTCGTAAGTTAATTTAAATCTACATTATGCAATAATTCAAATTATAACAAAAATGATAAAGTCTATTTTTTGGTTTGCTAAGACATTTTTAAAACTATATTGTCTACTTAAATATATAATCTAACTATCAAAAAGTTACGTACCCCTGCTATTCCTAATAACTTTGCATTGGTTTTGTTTACATTTGGTATCGCTTGTCGTTGGCCGTAGGTAAGTCCAACTTCGACCGGGAGGTTAATCGATAGATCCAGCATGGCTGGACAGAGTTCGAGAGATTATACCACATCGTATCACATTATACCTCAAAACTTTAAAACATGTGGATTCCGTAGGTTTTATTAAACTGACACAAGTTATAGTCATGTGAATTTTGAAATTTCTCATATCCTGGTGCTAGGTTTAATTTTAAAGCAGTTAATTGCTTTGTTTACATCTTTTAATACATTATAAATACAATTAGATATAATAAAACCAACTATTGTGTTTTAAATATAAAGATATATTCGTTAATAAATGTCCTACAACTTGACATAATAGTTGTCACCAATGCGTGACGCACACTATTTATACTAGATATTATTTATAATCATTTATAAAGGATCCGAGTTTAAAAATAATATAAGCACAAAAATAATTGCAAATTTATGTAATGATATTTCAGTAACTTATTGTTCTTGATGATTAATTAAAGTGTGCGTCACACTTAACATTTTCATTTCTTTTAATATAAAGTTGGGTACTTATATAATATTCCATTGATTTATTATTGCTATTTGTGCGCCTGAAGTCATTCTTTTTATAATTGTCGCTAGTGTTTATATATAATTATAGTTTGTATCCGTTTGTCACTATTTTCAATAAAATATATAACAAAAATCTATTAAAACTTTTGATATGATTAATTTACTAAGAATAGCCAAATAAATAATATATTTGTCATGATCAAGTGCAGAAGCACTTTGGTTATTTCTGACGTGTGAATCAATATACGTGTTTAGTTTTTTGTCACTATCACGCTATTTTGCATGTTAATAATCTAACACATCTTGTAAAAATTAATCCTAATTTATACAAAAACACCGACACAACATTTTCCGTGTTGATTACTTTGTGAGTGCACGTAATTAAGCATTATAGTTCATTTTAACTGACATACCATCTTTCATAGTATTTTTACTCACAATGACGGGTCGGTCTTGCACTAGTGTAGTTGTACATGCATATTGTAATAGTGTGCGTGAGCTCCTCGAGTCCAAAATTGTTATCGAGTACCGTTAAAAGGGCAAGTAAACGGAGAAACATTGTTCGCAGTGATGTAAGAGAATGAAAGTGTACTTTGCTATGCAGCAGAGTCAGGCTCGGCCGCCTTCGTAAGATTAAACATCTATACCTAATTAAAACAGCAAGAATAAATTTACAGATTGTGTTACTGTGTACTATAGTGTATATAACTGTATATAGATTGACAATGAGCATAATTACAAGTTACTTCTTTACCTTCTGCCACGCGAAGATACCGTAAGAAACCCCAGCTCCTAGAATGAACGTCAACAGGTATGGCAAGAAACTGAGTGACGGCATACTCCTTTTAGCCATTAATCTTGTAATCTTATTCAACTTGCTGTCATTGTACGGCGGATAGCGCATCCTGTAGTAAAATATTTTTTATTATTATATAATTTTTTTATTATATTATTTCTTCTCCCTCTGATAGTGGAAATTTTCCTCAAATTTAAATGAGTCCACCTGTGTGTGTATAGCCTAATCAATAAAAAATGAATCATTAAAATTGGTTATCAATTTTCGAAGATATCGCGTGACATACATAAGTACATAACAAATAACAGTCGAATTGTGTACATAAGTAATTGGCATACATTACCAAACTATTGTTTGCTATGGACTATAAATGATGATTTAATAATATTAATATTTGTATAAAAAATCGTGTAGTGGTGGTGTAAGAATATCCACTACCCCATATGTCCCGTGGGTGTCATAACGAGGTTGTTTACTCCCTAGGCAACCGCTCAGACACGTCCAACTACAGGACTATCGCCATCACCTCCTTGGTCTCCAAAATAATGAAATCTATTATAAAATGCCAGCTCATGAGGTATCTTGAGGAATATCAGCTGATTAGTGACTGGCAATAAAGTTTCCGGCAGGGTTGTTCATCTGGTGATCTTCTAGTTTACCTGAATCACAGATGGGCGGAGGCGGGGGGCTGCCTGAGTTGATAGTTTGGGACATAGCAAAAACATTCGGTCGGGTTTGATACAAAACAATTCTTTCGAAGCTTCCTTCCTATGGCCTTGCCAAGAAATTGTGTTGTGTTGTTAAACAAAGTCTCGGATTAAAGTTACAGTCTATATACGTCCCACTGCTGAACACAGGCCTCCCCTTATTTCTGTGAGGATTTTTTAGGGCAAGGAAATGTCCGCCGCGCTGCCCCAATGCGTGTTAACGAACTTCTCATGCCTTCGAATTTTTTTCTTACTTCTCAGACATGCAGGTTTCCTCACGATGTTTTCCTTCACCGCCGAGCACGTGGTAAATCAGCACTTAAAATTGCAATTAAAAATTTCTTGGTCAAAGTCTCGGATTGGGTACGACTAATTCTAGTTCAGTTTAGCTCTCAGAAGATACAGGTTTGCGATTTTACCGCTACAAAGAACCCCTTTGTCGTATCTCTTCAATTCCAGAGTACTCTCCTTACTGTCTTAGCTGCCATCCTCGGCGTCGACATATCGAAAGACGTGCAGTTTTGTGGTCACTTGGAAGGGAAGGCTAAATTGGCCTTTAACAAGGTTGGCATGTTCAGCAGAGCGGGACAGTATTTTATGCCGGCACACCGCTCGCAACTTTACAAGGTTACTGGTCTCATCTCTACGCCGGGGCATTGGAGTTCTTTCTGTTCGGCTTAATTTACTGGCGATGCGAAGGGATTTTGCATCCCTTTGCAATTTCTATCGCATTTACGATGGGGAGTGCTCAGAGTTGTTCGGATTAATTCCAGCCGCCAAGGATAACGAACAAACAGATCGCGACAAAACTCACGATACCATCCATTAAGCTGCTATTTTACGCTGGTATTCTGTGAGAGCGTGGTCCTTCCACGGTCGAACCGACCCATTTGTGCTACAACTATACTACTAATATAGCTGCAGCATGGCTCTACCACGTGAGAAAACAAAAAAAATGAGTTTGTGAACCCGCCAACCAAGCGTGGTAACTATGGCAAATACAACCCTAAGGAGGCAAATATAACTCTAAGGAGGCAATTTATTGGGAGGCCTATATTCGGCAGTGGACTTTTGATAGGCTGTAAACGATTGATTTCAGAAATCGATTAGATGATGAAAGTGTTTAAACATAATGTTGAATGAAACTAGTTTTAAATTAAAATGAGTTAATAAAACGCGATAAAATCCATAAAACTAGTTTCATTCCAATGTTTAGTGTTCGTGTAGACATTATTTGAAAGTAATACTTACGATCCAAGCTTCTCGCCTATGACGGCAAAGTTCTTAACCAAACAACTCTTCTTGTGCGTGAACGTATCAAAAGTGGCCTTGCCGTGATAAGCGCCCATTCCACTGTTGCCTACACCACCGAAGGGCAACGTATCAACTGTGAACAGACGTTGAATAGATTAAAGTATACCTAACTTTATTAGCTTAGCTTTAGCTTATTAAGTATCTCACACATGATCGTTTGGCATTCGAATAAAAAAGGTTACTTTACTAGATGCACATGTACATAAAATTGGTATGTAGTTAAGGGAGATTCATTGTTTTTTTTTTTAATAAATTTATGCGTCACGTATTTCAGTATATTTAGTATACTTTTAATTAAACATTGGGAAATATTGACCTCCGCGATCGTGGATGGACTGGTGGACATATTGTAATTTAAAAGTAATACTAAATGTAGTTTAGCAAAAACGATCTACAATTAATTTTGATTAATTTTATTTTATTTAAAAAAACGTTACCACTAACGCTAGGATTTTCTCCTGTATCGTGGAGGCAGTTTACAAACATAAATAGCGCGAGGATAAACATCAATTTAGTTAACTTAAAAATTGGTAAAAATTACCCCGATCAATTCAGGTACTAGTATAGTATACCGATACGACATAATGTGCCGTAGGGACGCGTGGTGGTTTGGTCATGTAGAAAGAATGAATGAGGTAAGAGTGACAAAGCAAATTTATGTTGTAAAAGTGAACGGCAGTGTCGGGAAGGGACGCCCTAGGCAAGTTTATCGACCAAATTTGGCGATATATTGAAAATGGGTCAAATTAAGAGTACCTTTAACCGACGAGTTTGCGTATGCGTAGGTTTATGGCTGTGGAGGAGGCGAGAGAGGTGTGCCAGTGTAGTGTCAAATGGAAGTCCGTATTCTCTACCTACCTCCCTGGGTGACAGGCGTGAGTGTTATGTACGTAATAATTAACAAGTAATTGACCAGAGGAGAAAGTCCTATATAATTTATTTATTATATAATTTTATTACTAACATCTATGATAACCTTGTGGTCGAAATAAACGATATTTTTATATGATTTAGGGGTCATATTTTCTTGATACCTCCAATAATTTGTTATATAAGCCTATAGTTTAAAAATTTCATTTTTATATTCCATTGTAGTTACATTCCACAGGCATAGATTTTCTTAAAAAAAAAAAAAACTTCTATTTATGACTTTTAATAAGTAAACTGGCGGGTAAGAGGCTCGACTCGTGTTGGGTGATCGACGCGCGGTTATGTGTGGCGCACTGTCGAATTTCAAACAACGCTAGCGAGGCGCCAGCCTGGCTTGCTGGCTCACAAAATCGCGGTTATACGATGATTCACCGTTCCCACTTGACGAGTGTCGAAAAGAAAATCGGCTGCTATAGTGGCAGAACATTTTATATGAAGGTGTTCACACTTAACCGACACCGTATCTTTGCGGGTGTCGACAGTAAATATTGGGTGTTTAGCCAGCTCTCTACAACCGTAAACAAATCGCGTCGAATCTCGTTCGCCTATGAGGAAGAATAACGCTGTTCACACTATGTCGGATATCGGGCCCGGCAACCCTCTTCCCGCTCACCCTCATTCCGCCCGTCGCTAGCTGCTCTCTGGTCTCTGCCGCAGATCGCGCGTACACATACCGCGGCGCGCACGCAGTTTTTGTGTTTTTATTATACCTAACATATTGTACGCATGTTTGGTGTTTAGTAATAATGAAAAAATATATAATAAATCATCAATGTGCAGTCGCCACACGTAGACTGTCCAAAAAATGGCTCCAGCTTCGATTGGGTCCTAGAATTAACCTAGTGTGAACAGAGGCGGCAACCAACAAGTGGGAACGAGCTCTAACAATATACTGATTTCTGATGATGTTTTTGCTATTAGTCTTTTACATCGCAGTATTCGTCTATCGGTACGGGCCTTTATTGCTGGTTAACAATTGAGATCATTTTTGCTAAACAACGTAGCTATACTAAGCATAATAACACATTCAAAGATTTTGCATAGTGAAGATTAGCATAATTACTCTTGTAGCATTAGAGAAGACCCATCAGTTATAGTTCAATTGATTTCATTTTAGCTTAAAAGTCATGCAAATTTACTATATTATATTAGCACAGTGTTGCTTAATTTTTTTGTAAAGCAAGAAATTTATTTTAAATTATTGTTATAAAAACAAGAATACCTAAGCATGCGTTTCTAATTTACACATCCAATAAATACTTTAATACCTTGCATACGAGGGCGACACTGAAAGTTTTTAGAACTGGCCGTTTAGTGGCTAGATAAATGATATAATAAAAAAAGAGTACAAATTTTGAACATGGAACTCTTTGCCAATATTATTGTGTATGTAGTTTATTAATTTATCATTTGTTTACGATTTGGCGACATATTGAAAATTGTCTGTGTCACATCAGCATGAATTTAACGCGAGAAAATTTTCGTACAATGATTTTTGATGAATTTCGATGTCATTTAAGTCAACAAGAAAGTTATAATAAACTTCGATTGGACTTTCACGATGAAGCCCCATCTCGTGCCACTGTTTACAACTGGTTTAATGAGTTTAAACGTGGTCGCACTAATCTCTCCGATGATCTGCGTGAGGGACGGCTTTTTACGGCGACGACTGAAGATAAAATCAGTGTTGTGCGGCGTATGTTAGAGACTGACAAAAGAGTGACTTATCAGCAGATTCGGACAAGTTTAGGCATTGGTATGAGTCAAATGCACAAAATCCTCCATGAATATTTAGCGGTCAGGAAGATTTGTGCCCGGTGGTTACCTCATAATTTGACAGAGATCCCAAAAACTCCGTCGTGTTGATTGGTGTCGTGAAATGGTTCAAAGATTTAACGGAGGTGAATCAAATGCTGTGTTCGACATACTTACGGGCGACGAAAACTGGATTTATTGTTATGATCCTGAAAGAGTCAGTCTGCTGTCTGGGTGTTTCCTTCCGAAGAGTTGCCAACTAAAGTGAAGAGAGGTCGAAGCGTTGGAAAAAAGATGGTGGCCTCGTTCTTCGGAAGGACAGGTCATTACGCAACCATTGTTTAAGAGGATCGAAAAACACTTACTGCAGAGTGGTACATTAACAATTGTTTGCCACTTGTCTTGGAAATAGTTTGGGAGAAACGACCTCGCAGTAGGATCCTCCTTCACCACGACAACGCCTCGTCGCACACCGCCAAGCAAACAATCGACTACTTGGCGACGTCAGACGTGGAATTACTGGGTTACCCGCCCTTTAGCCCTAAAATCGCACCTTGCAATTTTTATTTATTTCCGAACATAAAAGAAAAACTTCGAGGAAAGCGTTTTATGGACGCCGAGGAAGCAGTGACTGCGTTTCAAAATGCCGTCGAAGAGGACTAAGGACGAGTGGGCAAAGGGATTTTCTCAGTGGTTCTATCGGATGCAGCGATGTATTGATGTAAATGGACACTATTTTGAAAAGATATAATAAAACTAATAACTTGCTAGTTTGTTCAGTTTTCTAAGAACTTTCAGTGTCATAACTATTATTGTTCTGTGCTTATACATAATCATGGATCATTTTAACAAGTAAATAGAAAAAATATAATTTTAAATTAATTACTTCCGATTACTTCCGTACATAAAATTGTTTGCCATTTTATATAACTAAAAAAAAAAATAAGTAAAATCAGCTTCAAACCTCCCATGTGCATTATCGTATCGTTAACGCACATCCCGCCGCAACTAGTGTTCTCGACAATATTCGACACAAGATCCTTGTCCTTGGAGAAAACGTAGAGCACCAGCGGCTTCTCTCTACAGGTTGAGCATACAAGACAAATAGAGTGAGACCACCACCGTTACTAGAGAAAATTAGTTCATCACAGTAATAAGTTATTAAATTTTAGAACTAGACAGAAATTAATAAAATAAAATACCTTGTAATAATAAAAAAAAAACTTTGCAGGGACTGTTCATAAAATATAAAATTATACATATATACATAAATATTACATACATTATAATATGTACTTCAATAAAAATAGAATAACTTTATTCGTAAAGTTTATAGTTTTTTAAAATACAAAGATTTTATTTTTATCTGTCATTTAATGTCAATTTTCCAATATGGTTACTAAGTTTATGGGACCAACTTAGTCAGAGCTATGGTCAGACAAGGAAATTTTTTTAAAGAAATGTAATGTAAAAATAATGCAGTCATTTTGCCAATTAATTTTACCATGTTTTATCTTAAAATAAAAAAAATTTCAACAATTAAAATATTGAATTATTTGTATGAAGGTCAAGTGAGCGCTCTAGCTCTAGTCTAGAAACGACGATTGCAAGACGTTGTCGATAAATAAAAATGTTTTCAGAAATTATCATTTACCTCATAGTGGCGGTGGATGAATATCCATATCATCTCGTAGATGCTGTAAGAGACTTGAGGAAAAGGTTTAGTTTTAAATAACCGTGAATATCGTTCCGGTTACGAAAAAGTCACAGTGAAAAATCATAGTGACTTTGTTAGATAACTATTTGTAACGTTAGAACGATTTATAACGTGACTTTATATATGCATTTTAGAGTTAGTTAAAATTTAAAGTTAAAGTTACAGCCTATATACGTCCCACTGCTGGATACAAGCTTCCCCTCATTTATGAGAGGGTTTTAGGCCAAGGAAATGTCCACCGCGCTGGCGAACTTCACGTGTCTTCGAAATATTTTTTTCTTATTTCTCAGCCATGTAGGTTCCCTCAGGATGTTTTCACGTGATAAATCAGCACTTAAAATTGCAACTAACAATTTCATTGGTGCCGGCGGGGATCGAACCCGAATTTCTCGCGTACTGTGAAATTTACAGCGAGCGTCAACCATCTGAGCTACCACGGCTCAATATTAAGTTTTATTTCAATAGTGGATTTTTTCCTTCCTTACTGTTATTTTTGAAATATACGAATTTCATCTAACCTAGCCGATTAGGATGGCGGTTTTTCTAAAAAAGATCGATTTTCAAATGGATTTTAATCGAAATCTGATTCTCAAATAAATCGCGATTTAAAAAATCGATTAAAATGGATCTTCTTTAATTTACTTTTCGAGGTTGTATTTACACCAACAAAATGCAACAAAACAAACGTGACTTTTTTTATTCATTAATCCATTCAGAAGAGGCGAAAGAGAAACCGAGCACACAGTTATTTCGCGAGTTTTCAAATAATGAAGTGAAAAACTGTAATTTTTTGACGTGTTTGGGTACACTCAGTTAATTGTAAATAATTTTATGGTTCTTATCAAACCAGAAAAAATGGAATCTCTATTTCTAGGGCGAAATATCGATTACTGCTAATTCTATTTAAAATCGATTTTGTTTTGAATAAGTAATCGATTAATCGATTTCAGATCGTCATGACTAGTCGGTGTACCGGTCTAGTACACGGTACACGTACCTTGTTATACAGTGGCAGCTATGGCAAATATACGACGTATTGGGAAGGTCTATGTATAGCAGTGGACTTAAAATAGGCTGTAACGGTTTGTAGTAATAGTAATAAGATAAATGTAATAGTAGGAGGAAAAAAGACGGATTTTTTTTATTTTATCTCGGCGGAACGCGGGTGCTCCGTGCGATGTTTAGAACAGCGTTGCTGAAGTGAAGCAATATTTGCGTAAATAAATTAATAAGCATTTATTTACTGACAAGTCGACCACAGAAAAACTTGTATATTTTATAATAATGGAAATTTATAAATGGATAAATGTTGTTATTATGAACAATTATAACGAAATAGTATATACAAGAAAAAGGTAGCTAGCAACTGAGTGAGTATAGATTCAGATAAAAGTAGAGTTATATATTCAGAGTATAATTGTGTGCAAGGAGCTAAATATAAGTATCAAATAGTAAAATTATGTAGCTTAGGGCACAAGTTCTGAAAACATTTCTATTGCTTGCTAATAATGTATTCTAAACAAAAGATGTTATAAACATATCTCACTTGTGAACCACACAAAAAAAATGATAAACATGCTCAGCAATTTAAATAAGTATTCTGTTTGATATTTATAAATATATACATTTCTTAAATATTGTTATTGATAAAAAATCTTGGAACGATGTGGCAATTGTGCGTTTAGTCACTATATACATTGTTGGAAATGGTCCCTGCTGTGATACTAGTCAATGTGGATTATTTTGAAACTAGACGATTTGGACAATTGGTATATTTGTCACAATGTCGTCCACGTCTGTACCATGGTAGAAAAGCAAATTTCATGCCCATATAGTTTGTTCGATGGGTATAGATTACGTCCGGAAGAAGTTTACAGATATCTTTTTTTTCTATTTGCATTAAATTACAGCGGAAAAGATAACTACAATAAACAACATTTTAAAATAAATTTAAATTCTAACGGTCAATTAATTTCATTAACTACAGACATGAGAAAGTTTTACTTCTAAACGGAATGAAAAATTAAATAAAAAACCTTCACCGTTTTTCCGCCACCACAAAAACCTCCAACGCTTGCAGAAAACAACAGACAGCGCAATGTTATAAGAGTTCAGTTATATTACATAGTTGATATGGATCTCATTTTGGAAATAATTATTAACATATTTTTATCTTACATTACATACCTATAATTTATGTTTTACGTCTTTATTTTTCAGTTAATTTGGAGCCTCATAAGTTTTACCTATCACTGACTCTTATAACATCTCGCCAATATTACAATGCATTAATGTCAGCGATTATTGAAAACCTTTGACCCCTTCCTACACCTATTTTCGTACGATTCCTTGCAAAATTTAATATAGAAAGTTCAATGCTTAAATGTATGTATTTTTTCTAGGGAAAATAAATGTATTTAATTATGTTTTTTTTAAATTTTAAATTATATTTTGCAAAAGACCGTACGGATGATGTTCTTTGCCTTACCGCCATAAAACATGATTGTGTCGTTCACACACAGACTGCCTGAACGAGTCTGTTCATTGAACAACGTATGGATGTTTCTTTGATTGCTGAACACGTATAGTACTAATGGGTGTTCCCTGAAATGGGTTATGAACAATTGGTTGATGTATGTGTTGTTTGTGAGCTCTTAAATGTAGCTGCATGGTGGAGATTAAATGAATATCACAAAATTTTACATTTAACTTATATGGGTTGGTATGGTTTCCATTTCGTTCACGAAGAAAATAAAACGTTAGGTTATTTAATCTGACTTCCATAAATATGAGAAGTAACCCTTACAGAAAATTTAAAATAAAATAATTAAATTTATTTTAACTTTTCTGAAAGGGATTTGTTTCCTTAAGGGGTGGTAATTGATATATCATTTCAAGTTTGTAATTTTTTACTTAATTTAAAGTTCTGTATATTGTTTTATGAATAAAATATTGATGAAGTGCTTCCAAACGCATACAACTTTAGAAAATAAAAGTTGTTTTATTATTCTGAACGTTAATATGATATTGTAAATACGATATTTTTAACCCAAATGTTGCAGATGGTGCTTGGGTGTGTTTTTATTCCGCGTTATATAAGCGGCCATGGAAATAAAATTCTGTTTCTGAATGATTTTGCCTTTTTATGTATGAATTCGATTGTTTATGAAGTTGCCCCAAAGTTTCACCGTAATAATGTTCACATGAATGTTGCAGTTAACCCTAATACAGATACCTCAACATGTAGACAAGACACATTTGTGTGATTTTATACGAATTTAGGTATCTGTTTAGCGTTAAAGCAAAAGCTCGGCTATATATGTTCTTAAATCAATATGAAAAACTTTACTCAAAAAATCCACACGATAACACACAATATACCATAAAACCAAAAAAACACACTAACGCAAAATCGTTATTGCCCCCCCCCCCCCCCCCCCTCCCCCCATTTAGACCGCTAGTACAATATCATATGCATAAAAGTTACAGCCTGTACGTCTCAAAGCTGGGAACAGGCCTCCCCTTAATCTTGAAAGGATTTTGAGAATGCGTATGTAATTTTGAAATTGGAAGACTTTTCATGTATTCAAAATATATTCTTTTTAATTTTTCAAACATGCTGGTTACCTCACATGTTTTGCTTCACCGCCGAGCATGTGGTATCGAACCCGGGTTGTACGCGTATTGTGGAATATAGAGCGAGCACTTAGCCCCCTGAGTTACCAAGACTTTATGCAAACGATAATAGTTTAATTTGTAGATATTAACCAAATGTACAAAATAAACTGTCATATTTTTTTCATATTTCTATGAATCATATATGTATCTGCGATCGTATACATAATATGATAATGTAATAGCGGTCATAAGCAAGTTTATTAAACATAACAATATATGAAACACAACGACATAATCAATATGAATCTTTTTGTGTCTGCAATACAATAAAATTAATCGTTTTACCTTAGATTTAATTATGTATTGATTATAAAAATGATCTATTACCCAAGTTTAAATAACTGTTTACAATTAAGGGGGGGATTAACCCCAGGTTCGGAACCCAGAAATTATTTAGCATTTGGGCGCTATGACACCTATCTAGATAAAGTTGGAAACTAAAACATTATCGAAAAACATAATTTCATTTCATCTAAAACACTAGTGTCATTTCCGGGAAAGAAACATATATATGCAGACATATATAATATGTATGTGCGTTGTCACCTCTGAGGACTAAGATGGAATGCCTCATTTGCAGTGAAGAGAGTCACCAGTTCACTACACTCACCATATGAAACACAGCAGCATTAAGCTGCTATTTTACGGTGATATTCTGTGAGAGCGTGGTCCTTCCCGGTCCAGCCGACCCATTCGTGCTACAACCATATAGAAATTATACAAGAATAGCTCACTTAAAGTATAGGATATCGCTTTCAAAAGACACAAAAAGTATGGTTATAAATTATGCTAATCAAAGAAATAATGAACGGGCTATACAGGGTTATTTTTCAGAGTAGCCAAATTTTAAACTTAAATTCAAATATATAAAAAAACATATACTGTTATTGCAGTTTATGAAAATACTAGTAAATAAGGCTTCTACAATTATTTGAAATTGAATGGGATTTATGGGCAACAACGTTTTTGCCTACCGACCAACCCTTACGGATGTGTGCGTGCGCAGTAAAATCTGTTAAAATAAGGCGTTACAACGCATTTTGAATTTAAAAGATAAAAAGGACAGACAGGACATAATTATATTTTATAATTAATTTTTCTTCACTATTTGCCTATATTACTTATTCTGACCCTTCTCTGCAAATTTGGCTGGTTATTGCAAAATGATCCTGTAAATTATGAGACCAATATATTGTGACTACATTATTGTGACCTCGCGTCTCCGTTTATAAAAGATTTCACATAATAAATTAAGGTTTTCCCTCACTATGTTACAATGTATAATGAAAGATTGTAATACACACTCGAATGGAAAGTTATAAACTTACCTGGCATTAATAAATTTGATGGCCTCATAAGCGTTCTCAACGGGAACTATTGGCAGAATGGGACCGAATATTTCGTCCTCCATTATTTTCTCGCCCCCAGTCACATTAGCTACTATGGTGGGTTCAATAAACCTTTCTTTTGGGTCGCAACCACCGCCGATTGCGATTTTGCTTTTGCAAGCGTCAACTAAAGCTTGGAGGCGGCTGTAATAAAAAAAGTTGTTTTATCATAAGGTTAGCAGAGGCTGTATCTAAAAAGTGTTTCACCCCTGTCCTCATAATTTTATTTATTTGTATAGATGTATAGATAGATTACAAGGGCTTCCCTCAGCAATCTGTTAAAAGGATTTTACAGTCTGTCACCTTCCCTAAGTCCGTTTAAGCGGATTACACTTTCCGTAGATCCAGATTTTATCACATCACTAGGTATTTCTATTTTACGAGGTACATATGAGATTATCAATACATGTCCACGTTATAAAATTATACATTAGTTAAGTTTCCGATTGTACATTAGGAAAATATTAACATTGAAAAAAAAAGAGAAGATATGCTCTTTTACTTAAATACGACTTCTCTCTCAGGTTTAAGCAGTCACAGCTCAAATCGTTTTAAAAAATTAAACAACCAAAACTACTTTTACCTGAAATGTCTGCTATTTATAATTCTGCACAGGTCCGGTGATTTTTGTGCGTCATCTCCGTACCACTCTTTGAGTATGTCCCTGGCGGCTTCTATAAACTTGTCTTGGACCTCCTTGGAGCATAAGACGTAATCCGGAGCGATGCAAGTCTGTCCAGCGTTGATAAATTTACCCCACAGGACTCGCTTTGCCGTGACTCTGATATCTACAGTGCTGTCTATGTACACTGGGCTGTAAGCAAAATGACAAGATACAAAAATATATTCCTGGGACTTCGGCTGTATATATTAGGATTCGATATAGTTTTGATATATTTGTATACGTGCTAGAGCCATGCTGCAGCTATATTAATAGTATAGTTGTACCACGAATGGGTCGATTCGACCGGGGAAGCACCACGCTCTCACAGAATACCAGTGCAAAATAGCAGCTTAATCCTGCTGTGTTTCGTATGGCGAATGTAGAGAACTCGAGACCCTTTTTATTGGAAATGAGGCATTCTATCTTAGTACACACGGGTGACAACGGATCTGCATTTTAATTCGCAAACGAAGATAGATGTAGATGTCTATGGGCCACAGCAACCACTTACCATCAGGTGGACTGTGTGCTCGTTTGTCACCCTTATTCTATAAAAAAATACGTTAAAATAACTAGCTCTACCCGGCACCAGTTGCTATATTCTTTTTTAAGCCACGACGAAAACAGAGGGCTGTTATATTTTGTAGTATGTATATCTGTGTATCTGTCTGTGGCATCATGGCTCCTGCAAATGAACCCATTTTGGTTAAGGTGTTTTTTTCGTTTCGGTGTCTTAATCGAGTGTTCTTAGCTATGTTTCAAGGAAATCTGTTCAGCCGTTTGAAGATCATTAGCCATTTTTGTTGCGGGTTTTTTTGAAATTTTAATTTAAATTATTGCCAGTAACCTTTGTGTGGGCCCATACAACAACTACCTTAACGTCTCATCGTAATCTGATGAATGCTACAGAACCGCATATTAGACGACAAACCAACTCTTTTTTATATGTTAGATTTAGGATAAATCCCGAAACTTTTCAGAAACTACGACTTTGGTAATGGGAATCTTTTCATATTGATTTCTTACTTTACACGAATAGGACAGTATGAAAAAAACTATTTTTTTTTATAAATTTTATTGCGTTTAATTTTATTTATTTATTTATTTATTTATTTAGAAAACCAACAGCGTATATAGAAAATATTAACATTAATGTAACAAACTTAAAGTATGGCCAATAACAGGTTTCCCTTATATTGTTTGATGGTAGGTGTATTGTTGTTAGAAGAAAAGAAAAAAGAACAATCTAATAGATAAATTATAAGCAAAATTATAAGCAATTCAATGTAATGAAGGTGGTCATAAGTTTACAGATCAGGAGAGATAGTCAGGTAGAATGATATATTACGTTACCTTTATATATATATATATAAATATATATATATATAAATATATATATATATATATATAAATATATATATATATATATATAAACGTATAAGATATATATATACATACATATATATTATTTACTTATGTATATATACATATTAAATGTTTAAATATATAAACATAATACAAATAATTAATTATAATATATATTAAATAAAATAACTTAAGTACTTATATTTATATTAGTAGCCTCAAAAATACATATAGAAGAAATAGATGAGAGAATATATGATTGTATGTGATTTTAACTTCAACTGCTCTATTTCGTAATAGTTTTCTTGATGTAATCTTTAAACGTAAGTTTAGATTTCGCAAAGAGGTCAATGTGTCCAAATTGTTCATTATATGTGCGAGCAAGCCGCGAAAGAACAGTGTTTCGACAGTAGTTTGAATGATGCCAGGGAGTCTGTAACAATGTAGTATTGCGGGTACGGAATTTTGGAGTACGAAAGGTGATTCTTGAGACAAGATATGGACAGTCAATATTACTGTTTATTATATCATATAACAAAGCCATGTCAAGCAAAATGCGCCTGTGTTCCAGAGATAAGAGATTGTGCTCAGTGCAACTGTCTGTGTAAGTATCGATTTTATTCCGACAGCGAAAGTTAAGGTGATTAACAAATATTTTTTGAATACGCTCAAGGCGGCTTTTGTAGACATTGTACTGCGGAGACCATATTGAACTAGCATATTCCAAAACACTTCTGACATATGCAAAATAAACCATTTTAATTGTATTAATATTCGAGAATGGTTTACAGATGCGAAGAACAAAACCAAGATTTTTATAGGCTTTACTGATAACGTAATCAATGTGTTCGGATAGTATCATTTTATGATCAAAAATTACGCCTAAATCCCTAACACTTACTTTTCGGCTGATTTCTAATCCGTCAAAGTGATATTTATTTAGAATTGGCTTAGATTTCCGTGTAAAACTAATACATTCGCACTTGCTTGCATTGACAGTTATATTATTTATTTTGTAATATTCAAATAAACGGTCCAGGTCTTTTTGTATCAATAGGCAGTCATGTATGGTGTTAATTTTACAAAAAATCTTCTTATCATCTGCATACATGAGGTAATTTGTGTGTATAATGCACGAACCAATGTCATATAGGTAGGCATTGTAAAGAAGTGGACCTAAGTGAGAGCCCTGAGGAACACCTGTAGGTATGTTTATGTAGTTCGAACGGAAACCACCTATCACGACTGCTTGTGAGCGGTTTGTGAGATATGATTCAGTCCATCGGAGCAAGTCACCGTGAATCCCTAATATTTGTAATTTGTTGAGCAGGATCATGTGATCCACACGATCGAAAGCTTTTTCAAAATCAGTGTAGATCACATCAACCTGCCCACCTTGATCCATATTTTCAAGGACAAAAGAAGAAAAACTTGCCAGGTTCGTAGTGGTGGATCGCCTTTGTAAAAAACCATGTTGCTGCTCAGGGAAGGCACGTGAAAGCGTGGAGTAAATTACGTTATATACTACTCGTTCAAGGATTTTAGCCGCGGTGTTCAAAATAGAAATGCCTCTATAATTATTTATTTCTGTACGTGATCCCTTCTTGTGTACAGGGATTATGTGTGCACACTTCCATTGATGCGGAAATATCCCTTCACGTAGAGAGCGATTAAATATAATAGTCAAGGGGAGAGCAAGTGATTTAGCGCATCGTGACCAAAAAAAAGAAGGTAACCCATCACTACCGGCACCTTTGTTCGTGTCCAAAGTTTTCAACATTTTTTCAATTATTGCAGCGTTTGTCTGTACATTAGAAACGGTGTCAGTACACAACGATTCCGTATGTGGATATATGTAGTTATTACTAGGAATACCAAATACACTCTTGAAGAATGAGTTGAAAGCATTGCATATGTCCATACCATCGGTGTACTCTATATCTTTCAAAGACATTTTCTTAGGGTAACCTGACCCACCCCGAATGGCTTTGACGAAAGTCCAGAATGTTTTAGGATGTGTTTTGATGCTATTTTCACAACTTGACGTAAATTTATTAAAGCATTCTCTCTGAACACGGTGTTCTCTTGCTCGGAGTAACGAAAACTCATCGTAATCTAATCTATTCCTGAATTTTTTCCAACGTGTGTGAGCATTGTTTTTCTCCTTAATTATTTTTATTAAAGCAGGTGTGTACCATTTAGGATATGATCGCTTCCCTGTGTTATAACTAAAAGGCACATGTAAACGAAACTTTCTTGTTTTATATATATTTTATAGTACATAGCTTAAACTATGTGAAGATACTTATTTTAATACAAAAAGATAATATTATAACTCTAAGAGTGAGTGAGTTTTAAGCGGTTTTAAGTGGTAGAGCCATGCTGCAGCTATATTAGTAGTATAGTTGTAGCACGAATGGGTCGGCTCGACCGGGGAAGGAGCAAAGATACCAGCGTAAAATAGCAGCTTAATACTGCTGTGTTTCGTATGGTGAGGGTAGATAGCCGGAGACTCTTTTTACTGGAAAAGAGGTATTCCATCTTGGGCCTCACGGGTGACAACGCATCTGCATTTTGATTATTTACTGAGGATAGATGTGGTAGAGGTGGATTCTGTGCTCGCTTGTCACCCTATCCTATAAAAAAAGTGAATAAACTGACGAAGTCGATAATGTTTCAAATCAATATTAAAATGCTGTTTTAAAACTATAAAAAGCACCAAGTTTAAAAAGACGAAATTTATAACTACCATATTAAATCGTTTCTATAGTAATAACAAGTCCAGGTTACTGACCTTGTAAAGCATGTTTGTTTTAATTTTTATTAAATTGGATTGATAAGGACTGTTGAGTTCATAATATACATTTTTGTTTTTTTTTTTTAACTATCAATACAAACAATAGGCTAATTTAAATTAACGTTATTTTTTTCAATAAAGGCCGTGATTTAGGCTTCTTTAAAGCTCGTATGAACGCCCATACCTACACTGGTTCGCAAAAGCAAAACTTCAGAGAAGAACCGGCTAGAAAACCTGGGTCCTTTTTTAATGCCACGTTATAAATTCATTTCCACCGCTGAACATAGACCTCCCCCATAAATTGCCTCCCAGCACGGCTAGCATGGGCTCGGGACAAAAAATTTATCCCTCGATTACATCCAATGACAAGAGATAAAATTATCTTGTCCTTCTGCCAGATCACGGCAACGGGGAGAAGTATATCCCCGTTTGACATAATGGGTAGACATATATCCCCCGTCCGTAGCGTGGAGCCAAATGAAAGATAAAAAATTATGCTTTTTTGACATTTAAAAGGGACTATTTTATCCTAGTTCATTGGACGTTATTTACTTGATTTTACGGTATAAAATTAAAAAAAAAAAGATATATTTAAAAATCGAAAAAAGTCCAAATTGTATTTCATAAATAAGTTATTATTATATGAAATAGAAATCGAGCGTATGAGGTCGGGAACGGACGAGAAGAGTGCAAAATCAGAAAAAAAGGGAAAAAAAGAAGATTTGAAGAAATTCGAAATAAGTTAGAAATTATATTAATAGAAAGATGTAATGCTATGGAAAATTAGAAGACGGCCTAAAACTACCTATTTATTGTTATAAATAATTTGAGTAGCTAACATAAAAAAAAAAAACAATTTAAAATTAACACGGTGGTTTTGGATAATATCCTGAGTTTTACGTAAGTCATCGATTTCGTTGACTTGGCTTTGCTAAGTGCGCACTCAACACGACCTCGAAGTTAGCTCTATAAATACCGACATTGTCTTAGCTCGAATATAAAGTCTGAGCAAAGGCAAATTACGGTCTATAGATGTCAGCCTAAATCTATTTCCCATTTTATCTAGTGTGGCTATTATAACCACCGGTGTGGATAAAATTAAGCAAGGGTATAAACATTTTCCCCTTTCCCCGGGGATAAGATCGTCTCTTACCTATGCTAGCGCTGCAGGGAAGATATTCGCCGTGATTGCCTCGCTTGGCAAGCAGGATGGTAACCACAGATTTTTTTTATTTTGATTTGTTATTCTGTGCTCTGTCCATCTCCTGTTTCAGCTTCCCTGTGTCGCCTCTTACGACACCCACGGGATGATATGGAGTAGTTATTTATTAAAATGTCAGTTTAAACAAAATATTATCAGTAGCCAGGGGACTTGCAAGTGCAGAGTAAGAGTTATTTCCACAGATCTTTGTCCTCAATATTATGTACATCTATTTTACAACGTTTTTATTAAGTCACTTTCTTGTTTGTCTGTCGTTTCGGGTGGAATTTAGTAATTGATTTTAATTTTCTGTAAAGCTGCAAAGTTGAAATTTTGAATATAGCTCAACTTCGGATGACAATGCAAGATTATAATAATAAATATGACAAAAATTAAAAAATAAAAGAATAATGTCACTTGTTTTTTTTCTCTCATAAAATACGGGTGATAAAGTAGGAAATAACCCCCCACATATCTTTAATTAGGAATTATAATGCAGATAGTTGCGTAGTCACACTTGCGGACTAAGATGGAATACCTCATTTCTGGTAATAAGGGTATTTGGTTTTCTACACTCGCCATACGAAACGCAGCAACATTAAGGTTTGTGCTTCAACCATAATATTACTACAGAGTGGCTCTACAACGATAATTTATTTTATATGAGGCTTCTTTTTTAACGAAATTTCTCTAACAATTTTTTAAAATTTTATTGTATTTAGATGTATTTTTTTAACTGACCTTTTCCCACCCAGTTCCAAAGTTACGGGCGTAAGATATTTGGTGGCGGCGGCGTAGACGATTTTTCCAACGTTGGTTCCGCCCGTATAGAAAATATAGTCAAATTTCTGTTTCAGGAGCTCGGTAGTTTCCTCAGGACCTCCCTCTACCACTATCACTGCGTCCTGGTGATGTTATCCAAATGCAAATTACTTAATACAAAATCGATTTTACAAAAAGTAGTATATAAGAAGTCTCAGGTTTAAGCTAGTCTTGTTTCAAAAAAGAAGTCACAACCGAAAAATTGGACTGATCGAATGGGGTTTTCTAACTAGGCAAGGCTAGCCGATGCAGTCATTTGAATGATGTTGTCTTCCATTCCTAAATGGAAAGGTTCAATCTTTCTAATAAACTCATAACTGAAAAAATATTAATTAGTAATATTTTTTATGGCCGATTCATATTCCAAATCTTAAATGGAATTTGCTTTATCTATTATTTACTATTAGATTAGAACTTCTCAAAGATGCCACTTACATTATCCAAGTATTTTGGAATCATTTCAGCAATGAACTGCGCGCAGGCCACGGCGAGTTCGCTCGGCTTCACAATAACCACGTTACCGGCGGCAATGGCGCCTGCCATCGGTAGCAGTAGCAGCTGAAGGGGATAGTTCCACGCACCGATGACCAAGGCCACGCCATAGGGGTCGTTGTAAATGACAACGTCGTCGAGCATGTTCACTAAGCCTTTTGATGGCTGGAAAAGAAAAACATCGTATATTCTAGCAACGATACGTCTTATTACATAAGTGGTACAAGTAGGAACAGATGTTATTACAAACTATTCGTTCGACAACTTATGAACTTTTAGCAGTGCGTAACCACCAGACTAAAACAGATGTTGCGATCAAAATCTGTGTGGTACTGCGGGGCGTGTAGTTGGAGGTACAAAGTACATTTTTAAGGCACAGACTAAATAAGTTTGAGCCAATAGGCTTTACCGTGTGTTGCAAACAACCAAGTTTCGGCGTCTCTTCAAGAACTTAGTAGTACTTCAATGTTTAAAAAAAGGTTATTCATGCACATTATGTAAAATAGCTCATAAGGGAAAAAGAAGCATTTTATAAATACATAAACCCGGCGTAAGTGTCTGGGTCCTGGACCGCCAAACAAACAAATATCTTTTACTGCAGTAAAGTGACAAACAAAATAGCAGATCACTTAATGGGCTAATGCAACTCGTGGACACTTGCAACCAACCTTAACACAAATGGCGCAGGTGCACTGCCACTCTGAGCACTAAACTAACTTAATGCTTGTGGGTAATAAGATGTTCTTCAAAGAGCCACAACGTTGAATACACTGCGGGTCGGTGACAGATATAGTTAAGAGCTTGTTTATTTGGATACTTATTCTATTTCTGCCTTGATAATTAATGTTTTATTGTTTAAAAACTTTAAAAAGAGTCCACAAGAATAAAAAATAAATTGTTTAAAAAAAAAGAACAGTTGTCTTTCTTCGGTATAATTATACAGCAACCACTTTACAAGCAGTCAACAAAAAAATGGCTGCAATAGCTTATATGTAAAACTGACAGTTCTTGCAATAATTATTTGCAGAATCATTTTCGAAAGGACCCAACACTGCAACAACACAACAACACTTCTCAAGATAGGGGAAAAATTAAGTCAATTCAAGCCTTTCTTGAGATATTTTAGTATTATATATTTGTTTATAGAATAAGGGTGACTAACGATCACACAGTCAGTGATTAAATGCTGTGACCCAGACACCTGCATCAATTCCCGATTAAAAATCAAAATGCAGATGCGATGTTTACCCAGGGAAATAAATTGGAATGCCTCGTTTCCCTCCCTCGGAACAATGGTCCCCGGTTAGAGAACGGCTAGTGTAGAGACACTAGCCGTAATATGCTGCTATTTGACGACGGTATTCTGTGAGAGCGTGGTATTTTCACGGTCGAGCCGACCCATTCGTGCTACAACCATAAAAATTGGAATTAGTAATTGTGACGCCCTGTAGAACCAGCTACATAAAAATGTCTATTGTATGTTAAAGTTAAAAGTTAAGTACCTTTACACAACTTATAGATGAGAGGGTTTTTTTCAGGGCAAAGAAATGTCCGCCCCATATTGTATGTTAATAAAAAGAAAAAAAAAAACAATATGCATATAACCGTTAATAACATCAATGATATTTATTATGTTGTTTCATGTCACGACAATAAGCTAAAATAGATACTAAGCAAAAAATTTATATGTTTTTCCCGTAACACTATAGCTTAACTTTATTGCGTCGACTATCACGTTAGTTACGTTATATATGTTATTTTATTATTACGTCGACTATTACCTAACACGTTTAAATGACAATGAAATCAATGAAAATAAATAACCATTCCAAGACATGTGAAGTTCGCCAACACGCGTTGGGGCAGCGCATCGGACATTTCCTTGGCCTAAAAACCCTCTCAGAAATGAGGGGAGGCCTGTGCCCAGCAGTGGGACATATATAGGCTGTATCTTTAACTTTAACATATAAATATAGATAAGTCCAAATGATATATAATATGATAAAGTAATTAAATAAAAAGAGTATGAACACGGAAAAGTAATTTATCTATAGTGTTTAAAGTAATACGAGTCAAGACTTTTGAAAGAAGCCTTCTATCAGGTGATCTGTAGGTTTGTTTGTCAGTTGAGTTTTATAAAAAAATCCATCAATATCAACAAGATAATGTTTTTAAGAAAGCTAAGGAAATTCATTATAAAATAAAGCACAGTATTTAACAAATGTAAGTATTATATTCATAAGCCATAACAATTTAAAACTCACCCGCTCAGGTTTAGCCCATTCCTCCAAATTATTCAGAGTGTTTTTAAGATCATTTATCAAGTAGTCGGTCTCGAGGAGGACTGCCTCCATCTTGCTTCGACGAAGGTCCTTTTGCAGTGCTGCTATCATAGCATTCTGGTTCTCTGTGTACAAACGCAGCAGATTCTGTAGCTGTTGCCGACGCCATTCTATTGGCTTCGTGACGCCACGGTTGAATGTGTCGCGGGCTTTTTCGACAACCTATAGCATAAAGGACAATTTAAGAAAATGTAATATATTTCAATAAATATCTAAATGAAAATAGTTTTAATGTTCCGATACATTTCTAACACGTGTTTACTTAAAATTCATCATCATCATTACCGCTTATCGCAAGTCGACTTATCGACTCTACATATTTCATCAGAAGAAAAGAGTAAGATCCTCCAATACCCCATATCATCCGTCCAAGGGGAGACGTTATAGGACAGTTCTATGTCTAGTTGTAGACTATTATAAGGCTTATAAAGAGGAAAGAGGAATCTTATTTTGCACTTGTAAGTCCCCTAGCTAATGAAATACTATTGTTTTTTTTAATAGAATAAGTGTAACAAACAAGTACACAGTTCACCTGATGGTACATGGATGCTGTGGCCCATAGACATCTACATATATCCTCAATTACGAATATAAATGCTGTTGCGTTGTCACCCTGAGGACTAGGATGGAATGCTTCGTATACAGTAAAAAGGGTCTCCGGTTTTTTACTCACCATACGAAACACAGTAGTATTAAGCTGCTATTTTACGCTGATATTCGTGCTACATCTATAATATAGCTGCAGCGTGGTTCTACTACGTGATTACATTTAAAAATATTAATATATAGTGCCACCAACTTATCTGTTCAGGTGGACAAAATTGGAACTAAAGCCGCCATTTTGTAAATGACATTTCGCTGTCAGTTATTATTTATTCTGAGCTATCAGGTGAGTGTTTTAAAAAGTGCAAATAAAATGCCTAAAGATCTTAAAAGTGATGCGCGACAGAATATCCTGAAAGTTTTATCTTTTATGAAAGGCGAGAAACGTGTACAAGCCCCAACTATACCATTTGAAAAGCTGTATGAACGCGTCGCTGCCGCGACAGGTTTGTATTGCCAGATATGGAAAATTAAAATCACCAAATAATGTACTTGTCAAACATAGTAAAAAAATTATTTCAATCTACTGTAAAACTGTTGGTAAATCTTATGTTCCAACGCCCCAATTAATTGAAGATGCATTCAATAAAATTACACCGGTGTAGTGGAAAAACATTTGTAATCATATAAAAAACTTGAAAATGAATACAGACTAAAATACGCGTATTTAGATGAACCCTTTATTATAGCGTGTCAGAGCGATATCGAAAGCGACTCCAGTGACTGTGACTCAGAAGATGAATTATTGGAACCAGTAGCTAGCGCGGGTACATCTTTCAAAACACAAATTCCTGGAGTTCAGCCGCTTGAACTCCGAGGTCACGACCACAATTATTTTTATAAAATATAAATAATATATAATAACACTAAATCTCACTAATTTTAATATATTAACAAGAAATTTGTTTTATTTTATATTATGTGTAATGAATATGTAGTCACCTATTTCCTCGGTGAATTTCTTAAATGGCAATAGTAAGCGCTCCACTAGCGACGCTGTCAACTGAACAGATAAGTTGGTGGCACTATACATTTGACATTGTAAAAAGTAAACGAACTTGACATTTAAAAAAATCAAAGAAACCGATGTAAGTTTTGACCTTAATAAGAGCTTTTTCAAGCTTAAATTAAATAAATCGTTTGAATTTAATAAGAAAGTCCACTTAGGAGGTGTTGATATGGGGTACCGTGTGTATATATGGTAGTATGCTATAACGAATAGGTAATACAAAAGTACCGGAATGAAATGGGCTGATCCCTAGAGAAAGTACGTTTTTATGTTGTAGAGTAGAGGCCACGCTGTAAAGTATTTATGGCTACTATTTTCGTTGATGTAATTGCTGTTAGCCTATGCGTCTCTTACTGCTTCATCTGACTCAGGGCTCGAGACAATTAAAAAAGGTTGAGGCAATTGAGGATGAGGATGATGATGGTTTATGATTTGGTATTGTTACCAACCATCGTGTCTCCTCTGTTGAGGTTTATTGAGCTATCTAACCGCTGTGCGAGTGGGGGTGTGTGTACTCCCGCCTCTGACTTAAATCGAAATCGCAAGTATATTCCTGAGACACAGATTGATGACGACAAAACTTAATGTCAGGACGTTTGATTAGTAAGGATAGCAAACAAGTGTTTTCAAAAATAAAAAAAAACGGCGTATCCTATGGTTCTTTTACGACGACGAACAATAGACTCCATTTTTTTGCGAACTTTTTTATGCATGTATGTGTCCGAACTGTTTTAAGCAAAAATAAACCTTATACCATACCACATGAGCAGATGGTACTTTGTACCTTTGTAGGCCCATTCGGTCACATGATAACTGATAATCATAAGACGGCAGTTTAACCCATTTTAAGCCAAAATAAACCATAAGGCAAACGCATTATGTTTTTTTTTTAACGGTGGACGTTCCAGGAACTTATTTCCAACATGAGTTCGTACCCGATCGCGATTTGATCGCTATTATTTGTTACTTATTAGAGAGTATTTTTCCACAACATGATTTACGAAAACCCACAAAGTAAAAAAGAGTGCCATCCACAAGTTAAAAATGTTGTCAACTGCTAAAAATTACAAAAACACAAAATATCCAGAAACAAAGGCTGTAGTCATGAACATCTTTCAAAATAATGAATATTTTGTTCTGGATAAATCTTCCGAAAACGCAATTTGAGTGAGTTAATGGACCACACTCTCACAGAATACCAGAGTAAAATAGCAGATTAGTGCTGTTGTGTTTCGTATGGTGAGTATATGAATTGTTCTAAAATAGCCTACAAAAATATATAAATTGTCTTTGGGCTAAAAAGGTGAGTAAAAATCGTTCTAAGCAGACATTTTGAAAGACGAGCGCGGACTATCTCAGACTATCCCCTACCACAGATTAACTAATATAGTACGTGAGGGTAATATCGTCATCCGGTCGATATGGTCACTTTCTTATATTTCAAAAATTACAGCCTTGTTTGCGTGTTTGCTCTGTGATACGATAGCTCTTCATCAGTCAATCAAATAATAAAAGGTCAAAAGGCCGTTGCTTTATCGATGCCCTTTTCACAATTGACATTATAGTAAATACTTGAATCGATTTTAGTATTGTGTAGTGTAGTTATTTTATACGTGGTAGAGCCATGCTGCAGCTATATTAATAGTGTAGTTGTAGCACGAATGGGTCGGCTCGACAGGACCACGCTCCCACAGAATACCAGCGTAAAATAGCAGCTTAACGCTGCTGTGTTTCGTATGGTGAGTGTAGAGAACCGGATACCCTTTTTACTGGAAAAGAGGCATTCTATCTTAGTCCTAACGGCTGACAACGCATCTGCATTTTAATTCGCAAACGAAGATAGATGTAGATGTCTATGTGCCACAGCAACCACTTACCATCAGGTGGACTATGTGCTCGTTTGTCACCCTCATTCTATAAAAAAAGTTAGCTTTTTTAAGTTGATTTTTCGAAGTGTTACTAATTATTGCGAAGGTTGTTTGCTATTTTTTTTTCTTAATATATTAGTTATATTATACGACTTTGTGTTTTTGTCTCTGTCCTCCTCATAGTTTTGGTTTTATATATTACCCTCACGGACCTTAGTATGTACTTAGTACTATTATATATTCTGTGCTAATAGTTACACAGATCAACAAATAGTTACTACGTAGCCTCTACGCTACTCCGTTAAATGCCTATAGATTTCAAAATTTATTTTATTTTTAATTTCTAAGTATGACATTCTCTTTACCGTTTTAATATCATTAAAACCGAGCAAGTGGACTACCACTTGCTCTGGTCGTTATGATCACCATTAAATAAATTTCTGATTACTTATTGAATACCGATTTTAGTTGTGGCGGTGGAGATCAAACTCTGGCTGCACGTATAACTTGTCCCACCCAAACCCTCAACTAATACCAAATTTTTCTGAGCAGACAATATTATTATCTTTGAAAAATATATTTAATATAACCTAGTTCGCTTAGTAAATTAAGCTTCGACCTTTGCTTCGTGCTGACATACTATTGTTTCTTAATAACCTTATCTATATAATACGTTATCTATATAATATATATAATACGGGTAAAAAGTGAGCACTTCTGACGCATCGATCGTGAATAGGCATTGTTTGCGTTAGAAACAGAAAAGTTTCCCCATTTTTAAATTTGGAGGTAACGATATATATCTTTTATGAAACCATTTTTTTTTTATATCGGCCTAAAAGATATTCTTATAACTTTTTTGTTGTACCAGCTGGCAGGTACCCCGCGCGTTGCTGTCACAGAAAAAATAATTGTTGAAACATCTTTTAAATTTGGCACAGTTATATATTATTTTATTAGAAATTAAAACTAGCTGTTCCCCGCGACTTCGCCCGCGCGTAATTTATTACGATTGGATTTCATGGGTTTTATTTTTTTACGCGGAACCCTAATTCTTTTTCTAAATTAAAAGTAGCCTAAGTTACTTCTTATAACATCAGCTATCTTCCAGTGAAAGTCCGATCAAAATCGGTCCAGCCGTTTCGGAGATTAGTCGGAACAAACAGACAGAAAGACAGACAAAAATTTTAAAAACCGTGTTTTTGTTATATGTTGTTATTTCGACATTACAAACAGACACTTCAATTTTATTTATTTGTATAGACGATAATACATTCATTGAAGTTGAATGATGTATAACTGTAGAGGTTAGTGATTTGTCGGTACGATACGCGCGCCACCTACTGTAAGTTAATTGTACTATGCCTATAACCTTGACACAAGTGAACAAGTGCAAGCAATAAGTTCTGATTAACGGTATGGCAGAGCATAAAATAAGAACAAATAAATATTAATTTTTATATATTAGATTAATTAATAAATATAATTAATTGTCACTAACGCAGGAATTAAAATCGCTAAGCTTAAAACATATTAATTATATTTTTAAACGATTTAGAACACAAACGTAAAAGGTTTATTTGTATACTCTGTTTTGTTTCCGAACTATATATATGTACATACTTTTAATATACTTCTCTCAATATATTCTCTAATGAATTAGGTAATGAACCGTTTGAGAACCGTAATTGTAAGATAACAATAATAACGGGTACAATAAACATGAATGGGAATGAAACCACAAACATTAAAAATACGTATAAAATCGTTATGGACTAAAATGTGTGGTTAGTAAATTAATTTAAGATAAATTTAATGACACAATTAATACATTTAAAAATATAATGAAATACGAATACATTTAAAGTGCTCTTAACTTACTAACTTTTTTAACTTTATTTTTTTTAAAGTATTGACGGAACGCCTCAGGACGGGATAAACTTAAATATTGGTTCATCCATTCATCCATTACAGCCTATAAAAATCCACTGTACATAGGCCTTACCCATAGAGGAGGATTTTGCCATAGTTATCGTTTGATTGGCTACCGCAGTTATTTATTATTTCGAGTTGTTATTAGGAAGATACTGCTGCCATCTGCTGTTCTAATTTTCCTCTTATGACGCCCAGGGGGCGATATGGGGTAGTGGATATTCTTATATCGCCTCTAAACGGTTAGATTAATTATTGGACGCAGCTATCTGAACACCTGCTGAGAGAAGTCGCAACGGTATATAAGTCCTGCAGCGTATGACGTCCTGCGATGATATTATGACGGCTCGATTGTTTGTGCGTTTACGGAGAAAGACGTATGGTGCACAAGGGATGACCTGAGACATTAATAAACTTGATGTGAAGTGGTCGCCAGTGTGAATAAATGTAGAATTACCGAAGCATTCTTGGACGTGTGCCGTCCGTTAGAAAGCACCGGGCCTAACCTAACAGAATGTATTACTCAAAGGTAACGTCAGAAGCGACTTAAGGAGTAGAGGAAATCTTATAATGCAAGATAGATGGCGGTATAACTCCCGTATTTAAATGACACGATCAATTCGCCCCGGCTTCGAACGGGTGATTTTTGTATCTCGACAAAAGCGCCACCTACCGGGTCCAATTGTGAATCTAAACCATCCAAATCTGGACCAACTCAAACACATACGAAAAATTTATCAAAATCGGACCAGCCGTTTCTGAGGAGTTCAGTGACAAAAACACATACAACGGAATTATATTCTTCTGTATTAATAATTAATAAATGATAAGTAATTATTCCAAAAATATTAATTTGATGCTAGGTACTTACGTCAGCAAGATTAACCGGTTTCGGTTTCGAGTTGATGGTTCCTGCAACAAAACGGTTAAGTACTTTAGATAAATAAATAAAACATTAATTGCCTATCTAAAAATTGTCGACGTTTGTCAACTTCGTGCTATCCATGATCTCTAAGATTTTATATTAAATAATAATAAATTAAATAAGACAGTATTTACGCAAAAAAAATTCTTATGACCTCATTCTTCTTTCGGTAAACACCAATGCAGGTTACTTTGGAGTTTGATATTTCCTTAAACTAAGATTGGTCAATTTTGTTCTTCTGCGGATATCCTTGTACCTTACGTACTTTATATACAGATATACCCCAGCGGTGTAAGCTGAAGTGGCAATGGGCCGGTCATTTAACTCTAAGAACCTACAATCGATGGGGGAGAAAAGTCACTAGAGAGACCGCCTCGTACTGGCAATCGCAGTTTTGGGCATTAGATGGAGCGACGACCTGTTGAAACACGCAGGCAGTCGATGGATGCGTGTGGCTCAGGACCGTACTTTGTGGCAATCGATGTGGAAGGCCTATTTTCAGCAGATGACTTTTGATGGGCTGAATTAGAAGCAGTAGTAAGCTTATGGCCAAATACTTAAACGCTCCTCAATCTTAAGATGTCGTAAGTGTCGTGGTGTCACAATCACTTTGACTTAAAGTGAAAGAGACAGCACGAGGCTTAACGACATCTTAACATTTGAGCAGCATTTGAGTATTTGGACATTAGTCACCGAACAAATAATGGTGTTGTTGAAAGTGATTTATCAAACATTACTATTATTTTAAAATACTTTTAAAATGATACTGGTAATATTTTTTTCTTAAAATTTCAAATTTTTATCGAAACAATATTCGAGATTTTTTTTTTAAAATTCGGTCAAACATTCTAGGACTTATAAAGCTGTGACACGTTTGGACAGTTAAAGTCAATGAAATTATAATATAGATACTACTATAGAATATCATGTTCATAGACACAAACAAAAAAGCCGGTCAAATGAGAGTCGTAGCATCGTCAAACACGTTTCTGGATTTATTTTCATTTTTATTATTTATTGTTATAGCGGCAACATATTCTGTGAAAATTTCAACTGTCTGTCTACCTATTACGGATCATGAGATACAGCCCGCTGACAGACAGACGGACGGACAGCGGAGGCATAGTAATAGGGTCCCGTTGGTTAAAGGGCGGGTGAAGTGGTAGGTAGGTCTCCTTTTCTGCCTATTTTTTATAGGATAGGGTTACAAACGAGAACACAGTCTACCTGATGGTAAGTGGTTGCTGTGACCCATAGACATCCACATCTAGCCTCGGTTAAAAATCAAAATTTAGAATACGTCGTCATCCCTGAGAACTAAGATGGAATGGTCTTCGGTTCTCTATACTAACCATACGAAACACAGCAGCATAAAGCTGTCATTTTACGCTAGTAGTATGTGAGAGCGTGGTCCTTCCCTGGTCGAGTTAACCCATTCGTGCCACAACCATAATATAGCCGCAGCGTGGCTCTACCACGTATAAATTTTCATTGTTTAAGACCTTTTACTTTAAATAATTTGCTTTACATGTGGTAAAATTAAGAAAAAATTGTACAACCGACTTCAATATAAATAAAATGAGAACATCATCAATGTAGTCGAAGTCAATTAAATAAGCATTTTTAGGGATAACTCGAAAGCTACTCGTCAGATCTTGATCAAATTATGGGATCACATGAGAAACACCAGCTTTCAAATAAAAGAAGAATCATCAAAATCGGTTCACTTGGAAAAAAGTTCTGAAGTAACACAAAAAAATACAGTCGAATTGAGATCATCCGCCTTTTTTTGAAGTTGGGTGATAAACGGTACAGTTTACATAATAATTTTTATAACACAAAATCAAATTATTTTTTGGTGTATTTATAAATTTATTGGGACTGCCTTATCGACATAATAGCTGACTAAAACCGCGTTTAACAGTGAATTAATATGAAAATACTGATATATTTTCACCGTTATCAAATATTAACTTTGCACCTTGTTAATTACGTTCAAGGTTAAAATTAACTCGTATCTATGCACTGTATCTATACACATTCACGTGGATAAGTATGAAATTTTCCTTATCATAAAAGTACCTACAAAATTAAATTGTTTATAGAAGATTTTAACAGTATTCTGAGTGTCAATGTGGGTGTCTTCAAGGCAAGAGTGTAAAGTTTTTTGTTAGTTCGCTTCATAATCCTTCGCTGCATCACCTCATACCACTAGATGGGATAGTAGTCAAGCAGTTCTACTACACAACAGAAATAAAATGTACATAACATATCAACGATGTTACAAACCACTTTGTTGGGTACATAATAATAACAAAATGACCTTTCTACTTCCAACTTGTTTATTATTCATTCATCCATAATTCATTTGTACAATTTTAAATACACTATATTGTAGAGATACTAAGGGAACTGGCTGGATAAAACGAATAATATCACTTTGTCTAGTGTCCCTTGTTTTGTAGTTGCTGATAGGTTAAAAATTACATAGATACATCGATATAATATATTAATATATATTACGAACTAGGATTCCTCATGTTATTATTTTTGTTCGCACCTAGCAAAATTACCTACATTGGGTCACAGTATTTAATGCAATATATTATTATGGTTGGATTTTTTTCATTTGGAAATTTTTCTTACTTATCTTCACGCACAATCCCTGACGGGGTAGCCAGAGAGAACAGATCGCCAAGTGTCACGATCCTTACAAACCTCTTTCGCTTCTTTCAGATTCATTATCTTCTTCATGCATGCACGTCTAGGTATCCGAGTACTTTTGACCCTACCCTCTTCGAGCAATTTGCTCACATGGTCTTCGAAAGTTAGTCTCGGTCTACCTCGACACCTTTTAATATTAACTTTCGCGCTATATATTTTCTTCACCATTCGGTCTTCACTCATTCGCTCAACGTGCCCAAACCACCGAAGCACGCCCTTATCAATTTTTGTGATAAGGTCATCTTTCAAACCTGCCATATTGCGAATCTCTTCGTTTCGCTTTCGGTCGGCCATGGTAACGCCGCACATTTTACGAAGAGATCGCATCTCCACTGCATTCAACTTACTTTTATGCTTCTTCTGGCATACCCAGGTTTCGCTGCCATATAACAAAGTCGGTACCAACACTGCGTTATGTATTGCAAGGCGTGCACTCTTCGCTACGCCTTGCCTTTTGACTAACGCAGTCAGGGCACCATTGACTTTGTTCCCGGCAGCGACACGCCTGTCCACATCTAAATCACATCTTCCATCCCGGCTAAAAGCACTCCCCAAGTATACAATTTCATTTACCTGTTCTAGACATTCCTGATTTACCCATATTTCACACTTCGTTCTCTCTTCGTCCCTTTCAAATACCAGAACCTTAGTTTTATTAGCATTCAAACGGAGACCTTTAATTTCACATTCCTCTTTCATACACGTGACTAATGCCTGCAGTTCTGCCTCTGATGGTGCAATAAGCACTGCATCATCAGCATACAGCAGACAATTTACTTTAATGTCACCCAATTTCACACCCAAACAACTATCTTTCAGCTTCTGTAAACAACTGTCGAAATACAGTATGAACAGCCAGGAAGACATGACACAACCCTGCTTTACGCCCGTTTGGACGTCAAACATGGGTGACAGGTCATGCCCTACCCGCACACAGGCTTTACAGTCACAGTAAAGAGACTGCACAGCCCTTAGCAATCGACCATCCACACCATACCCCGGCAACAGTTCCCACATTTTCTTCCTTACAACCTTATCAAATGCTTTCTCAAGATCCACAAAAGCACAGAAAATCTTCTGGTTAGCAGCCAGAAGCTTTTCCGTGATCATGCGGAGAGAAAACATTTGATCCGTGCATCCTCTTCCAGGTCTAAATCCGCATTGTGCCTCCCATAGAAATCTTTCCGATTTCTCTTGCATCCTACGTGTCAAAACCTTCGAGTAAACTTTACTTGCTAAACTGGTCAAGCTGATCGCCCGATAGCACCCGCAGTCAAAATGTGAACCTTTACCTTTATATAAAGGCACAATGACTGCGGATCGCCAATCATCCGGGACATCCCCCGTCCGCCAGCACAAATTGCACAGCAGATGAAAGCTGTCCCAGACGCGAGGCCCACCATACTTGACCATTTCAGCAGTAACTCTGTCTAGTCCCGCAGCCTTACCACATTTCAAACTTCGAATCGCACGTTCAATCTCTTTCATACTGATGACCTCAGTGTCATCGAGGTCCGGGTCTGGCGTACCAGTCACGGCGTCATCCCCGGATCCCTCACTAAGATCATCATACGCATACATTTCTCTATAAAATTCGCTCCATCGCTGCATGACGTCCGATTTTTTTGAGAGGACGTCATTAGTTCTCGAAAGCACTTTGTTCATTCTTAAGGCTGTCGCACCACTCCGGGTCCTTCCAACCTCTTTCCAGAAGAGTTTGGAGTTCTCCTTAAAGTTGTGCGACAATCTTTCGTCCGCTTCCATTCTACACCTTTCACGCACTTCCTCAATCAATGCTTTCGTGTGAACTTTCTGCAGCCTATATCTTTCTTTCATCTTCTCTCTCATATCCTTATCATTACTAGAGGCCAAGTAGTCTAACCATGCTTTCTTCTTCTTTTTTACAGCTTCTTTCACTTCATCATTCCACCATGCATCTCTTCTTTTACTACTGCCTCTTTTTATTGTTCCACACACTTCTTCCGCTGCACTTACCATTCCATCCCTAAGGTTCTGCCAAGTTCTTTCTACACATTCTTTTCTGCCATCGATGGTGTCAAGCTTTTCGGCTACCCTCGCATGATATTTGTCCCTAGTATCCGCTTCCTGAAGCTTCCAGCTTCGGATGCGACAGACCGACTGTGGTTCTGTTACTGCCGTCCGGTAGCGCCAACCCGCGAACAGACCCCTAAATCTAGTAATCACTAGATAGTGATCCGTTCCCAGGTCAGCACCCCTGAACACTCGCGTATCCATCACCTGTTTTCGCAGTCGGTCATCCACCAGGAACAAATCAATCATACTTCTCTCATTCTTTCGTTCTCTAGTATATATATGGATTTTCTTGTGATTAAACATAGTGTTTGTCACAAGAAGACCCTTTTCCTTGCACACCGCCAGTATAAGCTTGCCAGCATCATTAACCCTTTTATCGCCAAACTTTCCAAGTACCGACTCGTACCCTGGTCGAGCGGTACCAACCCATCCATTCAAATCACCACATACAACAATTCTTTCGTTTCCCCTAGCCAAATCTAGAACTTCTCTTACATTCTCCCAAAACTCCTCCAGCTCAGCCCTGGACGACGAAGCTACCGGCGCATAAACAGCCAAAAGGAATAACTTCGTCAGTCCCAATTTAAAGCGAACCCAGAGAAGTCTTGAGTTCACAACCTTATATTCAGTCATAACATCGACCAACCGAGAAGACAGCAGCACCCCCACTCCCTGGCAGGCGTTCTCGCTCTCCGGGACTCCTGACCATAGAGCTAACGCCCCGCCAGGGAGCTCTTCAGTACCACTGCCCTTCCGTTTGGTCTCCGACATACACACGACATCTAATTCTCTTTCTTTCATTATTTCGATCAACTCATTCGTCTTATCTCTCATGCCTCCTCTAACATTCCACGTGCCAACTCTGCACTCTGTCCTCCACCTTCCGCCGTGTCGGGCTGCGCGTGACGGGTGGCGGTCCCCATCGCCGCTTTGCACGCTGCATTCCACACCAACGGGGACGAGCTGGTGTGCGTCGCCTTGGGGGGACGCCCTAACCCTCGTTGGCATGGGTGCGCAGCTAGTAGAATTGCAGCCCTGAAAAGGGCTGGCAGGGGTCGCGACGAGCACGCTTCTACAATGACCCCCAACTGGAAATTTTTCAACGACAATGAATTGGTTGTCATTCACCTGCCAATAATATTGCGTTATCGCTTTTTGTATGAAAATTTTGACTGTATTTTTTAATTTGTTACCTCATAACTTTTTTCTAGGTGTAACGATTATTCTTTTTTTAAATGAAAGCTGGTGCTTCTCATGTGGTGTCATATAAATTTGATCAAGGTCTGACCAGTAGTTTTTGAGTTATCCTTAATAATTTACATTGAAGTCAGTTATACAAAACTGTTCTACTCTATAGCATTTTACGACACCTACGTGATGATATGGGGCAGTTGAACAGCTATTATACTGTCGAAGTAGTAGTCGTAGTAGAATCATCTCACAAGTAACATCGAGAAAAATATTTGAAGGCTAACTTGAACACAGTAAGTTGTTGAGTTATCCTTAATAAATTTATATTGAAGTCGGTAGTACAAAATTTTAAATTTTTATTTGTTGTTTAAAAAAAAATGCTGGTTCTTCCCGGGACAAAAGTATTTTCGAACCAGTAACAAATTAAACATAAAGAATGACTTTATAATTTCAATATATTTCCATTTCAGTTTCGATTTCGAATACTAAAAGAACTTACAAAAAGAATAGATTGATTTGACTTTACAAACGATAAAATCGATTTAGTAATTTGTAATTAAAGAAACTTCGCTTCTAATCTAATCGTATGAAAATTAACATATTATTATGGTATGGATTAATACATTACACAAACACAAGCTTGTAAGGACTGCACGATAGATATTTTTTTTTGTTTTTTTTTTGCAGCATACATACTTGTAGTACATGACCAAAACAGTTAGGCGCATGTCAGCTAAGACGTTTTTTTTATAGGATAAGGGTGACAAGCGAGCACAAAGTCCACCTGATGGTAAGTGGTTGCTGTGGCCCATAGACATCTACATCTATCCTCGTTTGCGAAAAAATGGAGAAGCGTTGTCAGTCGTGAGGACTACGATGGAATGCTTCATTTTCAGTAAAGAGGGTCTCCGGTTCTCTACACTCACCACACGAAACACAGCAGCGTTAAGCTGCTATTTTACGCTGGTATTCTGTCAGAGCATGGTCCTTGCCCGGCCGATCCGACCCATTCGTGCTACAACTATACTACTAATATAGCTACATCATGGCTCTACCACGTAAAAACGTCATTAGAACTAGGGAACTAGTTTAATCTAGCTATTATTTATTCTGTCCAACTAGGAAACTAAGGAACACCGGAACGGTGATTGGTTACTGGGGGAAGCGCGGAGATAGAGGCGTGGTGTTAGAGAAAACACTTTAGGGATGAAATTGAGGTAATTTTGACAACGCCAGCTACTTAAGAATTTTGTATGAAGCTATTGTTTCAGCAGTATTATTACAGTGCCACAGACAGCACTTGATACTCCTTCGTCATGTTTATGGTTTGAATCTAAATCGTCCCGTGCCCCATGTAACATTCCTGCGGTTAATCAGAAATAGTGCAATATCAGAAACACTGGGCCAAACATATCACACCTTAAACTAACAAATAGTACCTATCTCTTTACACACAATTTTAATTTCGTTAGTATTCGAACCCAAGACAAATTTTTGTTTTTATTTAAAAAATATAAGTCTCCTTTCATTTTCTTGTTCATCAGCCCACAAACTAATGTCCAGATGAGATGGGCATGAGTCTTTTCCGTTGGACCCAGGAGGATCCCAGGAAGGTTAGTTATCGCAGTACTAGATGTCCTACACCTTAAGAGGATCGTCAAGCTGTAAAGATTCATACAAAGAGCGATAAAGTTTTAAATGCTGCGTACGATATAAGTTATTAGTATTTAAATATCTATATTTTTGACTTAAAAACTTCCTCCAGCTTTTTTTTTGAATTAAACTAAACTGAATAACTATAAACGTACAAACCTACAATAAGGTATATATACTGAATGTAATGAGACAAAAATTCTCTCTTTGTAAAGGGATAAGGGGAGGGGGAGGGGGTTTGAAAATGTTATCGCCCGGAACAATATTTCAAAAAGGAATTTATGATGAGTTTTTAAAGTCTCACAAACATAACATCTACGTTGGCTAAGCTAATTACTACCCGCTATTATTTCGCATTTAGCTTCTTCAGATGTTACAACTCCAGTCATATCATTCATATCTCTAACGATCGCTGAAGTTGCGACGCTCATTGTCATTGGAAAATCAAACATTGCTTCGTATGAGGTTCTTTTGACTCCCTCATCATATGCTCTATTTTTCATTGCCTGGATGAATTTTAACTTTAACTATTTTAAAATTTTAACTCTAACCATTTTAACCTTTAATTTCTCTAAACACTGCGTATCAAGATAAAGTTAGCTCTATCAAGATAACAGTTAATGTCTTTCTTACTTGTCACGAGTTCGTCTTGTACATTCTGACTCATAAATACTTCTACACAGTAGAGGGGGAAAGAGGTGCACACTGTCCGAAATCACGATAATGCGTCGAAAACTTCTAGACATTACTATTTTTCAACATTTTGTTGTCTTTGAGGTTAAACCTAAGATTTACTAAGTTAATGCTAGTAAAAGTTCGAAATTAACGATTACCACAGAATAGTTTGAACTTTTACCATAAAGACTTGGTAAATCTTAGGTTTTACTTAGTGGCGTAGCTATGCAACCAAGGGCCCCGGGGCGAAAATGAAATTGGGGCCCTATTTAAACTAAACTAAATACTTTAAAGGTGCATAACTATTTCATCATCAGTTCCTTATTGCCCACTGGCATAAGCACTGGCATGGCAGGGCATAATAAAGCAAAACTACTATGTAGTATGTGTAACGCAACAAATTATATTTATTTGTACTTCTTATATATAAAAGAGGATATCCTGAGTAACTGACAACGCACAGCTCAAACCGCCGTAGAAATCTGAAAAAATTCAACATCTAGCCTAAGGCCCGCTCCATACATACGGAATTCCGAGATTCTGAATGCAGCAAGTTCATATAAAATCTACGACACGTCACACACGTACGGTAGTTTTTCGTTCGAAATTTTGCCGGCAAAACGGAATTTTGAACGGGGAACGGAAAACTACCGTATGTGTGTGACGGGTCCTAGACTTTATATAAACTTGTTGTGTTCGGAATTCCGAATCGGAATATCGAAACGGAATTCCGTATGTATGTGGCGAGCCTTAGAGGTAGAATTTTTTCAACGTGACGCGCGGTGTTATACTGCCCGAGTGACGAGAAAATAATAAATGTGTTATTTAAAACTATTAGGTATAAAACTAATTTTACGGATTTTATCGCGTATATTAACTTATTTTTATATTCCCGACGTTTCGGGTGCTGGAAAGCAAAATATCCACTAAAAAGGACATTCGAGGAAGCGCTAAGATCTTAAATCAGACAAGTAAAAAGTTGTTACTAACGGTGATTCAGCAAAAACGGTTCGATTTACAAATCTGAAGGTAACCGGGCTAAATATGACAGCAGGACGTCAAACACCTCAGTCCCCCGTGACCACGGGTGCTGGAAAGCACCCGAAATGTCGGGAATATAAAAATAAGTTAATATACGCGATAAAATCCGTAAAATTAGTTTTATTTAAAAATGTGTAGTGTTCGCGTAAATATAAGAAATCATTACTATTAGGTATGTAAAATATTGGCAAATACCCCCCTATGAATGACAGTAACAAAGAAACGGCCCCCAGTCCCCGGCGGCCCCGCTATTCCTGGCTACGGTGGCGACCATGGTAACGGCGGGGCAGGGGGTGCTAAGAATCTCCGGTGGAGGTTCGGTTGCCACCTTAGACGACTTGACCTGGCAACGTACAACGCACGCACCCTGAGGACTGACGAGAAGATCGTGGAGCTGGAGAAGAGATAGACAAGTTGCGCTGGCATATTATAGGATTATCCGAAGTCCGAAGAGAGGGGGAGGACACGGTAATCCTCGAATCCGGCAACTTGTTCTATCACCGGGAGGGCGACCATCTGTCCCAAGGAGGTGTCGGATTTATCGTCCACAAGTCTCTCGTTAACAACGTTGTAAAGATCGGGAGTGTGTCGACGAGGGTTGCGTACCTTATACTCAGAATCACCAAACGGTATTCGCTGAAGGTCATACAGGTTTACGCACCAACCTCGGCACACCCCGATGAGGAGGTGGAGGAAATGTATGAGGATATCTCTAGAGCCATGCATTCCTCCAAAACCCAATATACGGTGTTAATGGGAGACTTCAATGCAAAACTAGGCACAAGAGAGAACGGTGAGCTGAAAGTAGGGAAATTTGGAATAGGGCAACGGAACCCAAGGGGCCAGCAGCTGGCCGACTTCATGGAGAAAGAGGGACTCTTTATGATGAACTCTTTCTTCCAGAAGCGGCCCCACAGGAAGTGGACCTGGTCGAGCCCCGACGGTTCGACAAAAAATGAGATTGACTTTATTATGACGACCAGACGACAACTGTTCAGTGATGTCTCCGTGATCGCCAGGGTGAAAACTGGTAGCGATCACCGAATGGTTAGAGGCACACTGAACCTAAACGTTAAGTTGGAGAGGTCTCGTCTAATGAAGTCAACGCTCCGTCCCCCTCGTGCTCTGTTCCAAAGTCCCGAAACCTTTCAGCTCGAGTTACAAAACCGTTTTCAGTGCCTAGAAGACTGCAATGAAGTGGACGATATGAATGACAAGCTCGTGGAAACTGTCCATGCGGTCGGAGCTAAGTTCTGCAAGACCCGCCGCAGAAGAACACAAAAACTCTCCGATCACACTCTTAATCTCATGGCTGTTAGACGGGAGATGAGGCTACATTCTTCAACAGACTTGACAGCATACAGGTATCTGAACAGACAGATCTCCAAATGCATGCGGCGGGACTTACGCAACTTCAATACAGCTCGTATTGAAGAAGCGATCGAGCGGAACCAAGGCTCCAAAGTCTTTGCCAGAGATCTGTCTGCCAGAAAGAGCCAACTGTCAAAGCTGAAGACCGAATGTGG